CTGTGTGAGTATGAGCAGATAAAAAGCTGGGTTAGAGCAGAAGAAGGGAGAGAGAGAATGACCATGCTACCGTGACCAGTGTACCACAAGCCCGGCCTTGGAGGGCTGGGGGGAGGAAACGACGACTGACTGGGGGCTGACAGGGGAACGGACTCGGGACCGACATCAAATGGCTTGACTGACTGGTGCTCTGACAATCTTCTTATGCTTTATCTATCACATTGCAGGAGGAGAGTCTCTGTTCTCTGTTTCCCTAACTACAAGATTATGTGTTTAAATACTACTCTATTCAGAATAATTGTAATATTAAATGACCCTTTAAATTGGAATGGTTTGTCTGAATTAATTTAGTCGGTATCACACTCTAGCCACGACAAACCTATCTCCTATAGCATGCCATAGTAAATGACAACTGACGCTGCATCTGAGACACCTCACGACATCCCGACGCAGAGTCTAGCATGTCAGATTTTTTTCATTGTGTATGACATGGTGGCCTAACGCCGACCAACAGAAGCACAGATGGCTTTTCTGTTCACAACATTTTTGGCATATTGGACTGAACCATATTGATTAAATATCACAGTGATACAGCCAACAGTGCTTTCATAGTCAGTCCTGTGAAGTAGTTACCCTATCAGGGTTACCTATCTAGTTTTCAGTTTTACTACCGGCTTGAAAAAATTATTTTAAGGATAAGGATAATCACGTTTATTGGCCAAGTATGTTACACACAAGGAATTTGTTTCCGGTACAGAACTGATAGCAGCCATCTGCAGCGCCACCTCAACCGACAACTCTAACCATCAGGGGGTTCCGTGTCTTGCCCAAGGACACTTTGACACGTGGACTGCCGGCAGCAGGATTCAAACCTTCAACCTTCTATTTGGGAGATGATTGCTTTACCCACCGCACCACTGTCACCTCCCCAGCTACCTCAGATTTTTTGTGAAGGAGAGACAACACAGGCTGCTGCGCTCTTAATGCAACCCACAGACGGGTCCACGGTTGCCCCCCCAACACTTTTTTTATGCATTTCCAAACACAAGCAGCCAGTACACTCTTCTCCCGGTCCCTGGCACCTCCAAGTTGTGAATGACGTCAGGTTGCGATTTGTCAGGTACCAATATGTAGTTGTCATATCCCTTGTCCAAGAATGTATGACTGTAATCGTGTAATCTGACCATCATATCAGAGAAACAAATCGTGCAGTCTGAACCAGGCATTACAGAAAGTTGGGACGGGACAACAAAACACAGAAAAAGTTGTTTAATGCGAAACAAAACAAAACAAAAAACACCTGGTGGAACACCTTTCAACTAGTTCATTGGCAGCACGTCAGTATCAGATCAGGTATAAAAGAGTGTCGCAGGGAGGTCAAGTCATTTGGTAAAAAGGATGGGACGAGGTTGACTACTAGGAAAGACTTACTGATGAATGATGTTTCTCAAAATAAAATTGCAAAGAAATTTGGATTCTCATAATTTGCCCGATGCTGGCTGGGATTGGCTCCAGCCCCCCCGCGACACCATTCGGGACTAAGCGGTATACAAAATGAGATGAGATATGAGGGGCAGTGCCTATGTCTCTGGGTTGTCCTAGCACCATGACAGTGTTGTCAGTTCACAGTTGCTGGCATAGGAACCTTTGGTTACTCATTAGAGGAAGAGGGGGACAAAAATCAATCAATTCACACTTCATTTGACAGGAGCTGCATTTTATATCTCTCTAACAACTGAATGGCCATGTAATGTAGACATTGCCACTCGTTGCATGCTTTAGGAGCTACAAGTGAGTGGTAGGAGGAGGAATCAAGAGATCACCATTTGTCCTTGAGTGGGTCAGCTGTAGCTGAACTGATGTAGATGTAGTAGTTCAATGGTGCTCACTTAGATGGTTGGTGGAAATGGTGGAGCATCCTGTGATGTTGGTATAGAATACAGAGTCTGTGGGGAATGCCATTTAGCTTCTTTAGTTGGACAGATGTCCAAGTAGAACCAGGCTGGTGGTTTGCTGTGCACTGAGCAGATGGTCAGCTGAAAGAGGTGAATTTTTCAGATTAATTATTGCTTGTAGTTTATTGTAGAAATGAACTGAGTGCAAATGAAACTCTGAGGTTACGTGCACAGAAAATGGGAACCAACAGGCATCCAGGGTAGGAGGGTATTAATAAACACATGACAAGAAGAGGAGTGTTTAAGATGTGGTCCTGCTCCTGAACCTTGGCGAAAATTATGTCCATCGAAGTCCACGATAACACAAATCCTGGGTCTTTATGGTATTGGATTTAAACACTGTTCCTCTTCTACCTAAGCACTGACCAAGGTCAACTTAGGCTATACCTTATTATTATTATCAACTGGTACAAAGCGCTGCTCCCCTACGTGCACAGAAAATGGAAACCAACAGGCATCCAGGGTAGGAGGGTATTAATAAACACATGACAAGAAGAGGAGTGTTTAAGATGTGGTCCTGCTCCTGAACCTTGGCGAAAATTATGTCCATCGAAGTCCACGATAACACAAATCCTGGGTCTTTATGGTATTGGATTTAAACACTGTTCCTCTTCTACCTAAGCACTGACCAAGGTCAACTTAGGCTATACCTTATTATTATCAACTGGTACAAAGCGCTGCTCCCCGTCTACTGTCAAATACTTCAAAGTATGCCCACATCACCCCTGTCCTTCACTCGCTACACTGGTTGCCAGTGCAGTTCACTATTATTTGTATTTAAGGCTATTAACGGCCTCGCTCCCCCATACCTGTCTGACCTGTTGTCCATTCGCACTCCGCTTAGGGCTCTACGTTCCTCAGAGCATGTGTCCTTGGTTGTCCCGTGGACAAGATATAAAAAAACGGGGTGATCGTTCATTTGCCATATATGGCCCCAGGCTCTGGAACTCCTTACTGCCGAAGTTACGGTCCATAACTGAGGTTGTCGTCTTTTAAGTCAAAACTAAAAACTCATCTCTTTAGACAAGCTTTCTGTGTCTAACAGGCTCCAGTGGCATCATGTCGATGACTTTTAGTTTGTTGTCTTACATTTACACTTTAATATGGAAGTTTCTCATTAGCTTTTATTGTGTGTTTTTATTTTGTTTTTGGTTTTATTGCTTATGTGGCCGGTTTTATACTCCTAATATATGTTCTTCTGTGAAGCGCTTTGGGCTCCTCCGAAGTTGTAAAGTGCTATACAAATAAAGTATTATTATTATTATTATTAATAGTAGTAGCTTTTTGTTGTCCTTCTTCAGATGCTAAAAATAGTGACACTAGTAGAGTATGTGAGCTACAAGTTCCAACCAGCACAAACCGAATCATAGTAGTGAGTCTGAGATTGTTTGTTACAGGGTGAAACTTGTGCAGGTAAGTATAAATAAACTGTATTATAAACTGTATAAATAATGCTGCATTGCTTTTAAAGTAAATAATACCATTTCCATTCCCTAATATGAGCTGCTTCAAAGCTCCACAGCTTGTAGCAAGTGACTTCATCTCACAGAACAGAAGTACATATCCTATTCTGTGTGGACTGTGCAGCATTATTATTATACCCTCTGTTCTCATAAAGGAGAACCCTCCTACCAAAGAGGATGGTATAAGTTGAACCCTGCCCAAATGCAAAAGTATGTTTTATTAATACATTTCAACAGTTTCCATAGTGTTATTTACTGTGGCATTAAGAGAATATAGCAAGTGTCACTGATTCAGGCCTCCAGAGTTTGATGTTTACATGTTATTCACTCTTGGTGGAAGGTTTAATGAGATCCATGGAGGCTGAAGCGGTCTGATAAAACCATTTCACAGGCTCAAACTGTTCTCTTTCTTAGTTCAGGAAATAAGTCGGTTTATAGATAACTAAATAAGAGAATCCAATATAAGAAATATCTTACTGCAATCTTCAAAGTTAAATCTCTCCTTGCAATCTAACATATTACTGTAATATTACCAGACTGTCTTAATAATCAATCATTTATACTTGACTTTCTTAATGGAGGAAGAATTAAATGCAACATATTTAACATTTGGTGGGCATGTGGAAGTTCACAAATACAGATACCTTTATTTTATGGTTGTTTTCACCGTATATATTTTAATAATCTGCAGTAATTCTATTATTTTGTACCTGATCTGGAACCACCAAGACCTCCATGAGCCTATGTACATTTTCATTGCAGCTTTGTTGCTGAACTCTGTTCTTTTCACCACTAATATCTACCCAAAGCTGTTGGTCGACTTTTTATCTGAAAAACAGATCATATCCTATCAGGCCTGTCTGGTTCAATACTTTATGTTTTATTCTTTAGTTTGTTCAGAGTTCTTACTGTTGGCAGCCATGGCCTATGACAGATATGTGTCTATATGTAAACCTCTGCATTATCCAACTATAATGACAAAAACAACTATAAGTATCTTTCTGGCTTCATCTTGGCTTTTGCCTGCATGTCTGAATGTGGGAATAACAACACTGAGCTCTAATCAGCAGCTCTGTAGCTTCACTCTGAAAGTCATTTTTTGCAATAACTCAATTTACAAACTTTTTTGTGTTCCTTCAAGAGCAATATCTTTCTATGGTATGGTACTTTTCATAAATCTTATTGTTGTTCCTGTGGTCATCATAGCTTTCACATACACCAGGATACTTGTAATATGTTACCACAGCAGTAGAGAAGTCAGGAGAAAAGCTGCACAGACCTGCGTCCCTCACCTGCTGGTTTTGATGAACTATTTTATTTTGATAGCATATGATGTCATTACTGCCCGACTGGAATCTGATTTTCCAAAAAATGCACGTTTAATCATGACTTTACAATTAGTTTTGTATCATCCTATTTTTAATCCAGTTATATATGGACTAAAAATGAAAGAAATTTCTAAACACCTTAAGAGGTTGTTTTGTCGAGATTAATGGAACTGAAGCTATCAATGTGATTTTTCTGATCCCTGCAAAATGTTTAATGCTAGGATATGTTTCAACTCCTAACACACAGTAAAGACCATTGTCAGCTTAAAAAATGTGATGACTAATCAATTTTTGCTGTTAACTCAATAATATATCTCCCGTGAATCACAACTTTCATCCAGAACATTTCATTTAGCCTTAAGTTGACTGCACATATCCTGAATCCTGGTAATGATATACAGCTGAGTCAGCACAAGCCACATGGAATAAATTTTTATGTTAATGTAGAATAAGCACAGCATTAATGTTTTGGTTCTAAACTCTGATCTCATTGCTCCTTACATGGAAGCATCAAGGTCAACTGAGCAGAGAGTGGGGAGAGATAATATTATAAGATTCTTATGTGGTCTTAGAGTGGAATTTAAGATGTCTCAGCATCTTCTGTGTCTCGTGTAATCGTAGACTAAGATGTTGAGATCTGGGCTTTTTGGGGCCACAGCATCTGTGGTGGGACTTTTTGGATAAGACAGCACAATATGATACAGACTGAAGGTGACCTTAATTCATATTCAAGATTTCAAAATTGGCTCTGCGATGCACCAGCGACCTGTCCAGGGTGTACCCCACCTTTCGCCCTATGCCGGCTGGGTTTGGCTCCAGCCCCCCTGCGACCCCATTTGGGATTAAGCGGCATAGAAAATGATTTCAAAATTCTCTTAAAGAAATCTTTTGGAGGGGGTTGTTATCATTTTCATCTGTGGGACTGGTATTATGCCACTTTCTTAAGTAAAAAAATAACCACTTAGATTGAGAATATGTGGTCAGTCTTTCCAGGTAATGCCAGTTTAGAAATTTGTTCTGATGTTTTTGGAGATGTGAGTGGTCGACCAAGCTAGTTCTGTTAGCAGGCAGCTACATCCGGTTCAGAGCCCAGCAGTGTGTTGGCGAGGACGCTGCTGTTCCAGCTGCACATTATAGTTGTTTCCACTGTGAACCCAAAAGAGTAGTACACCACATGCTTCCCCTTAACCGTCACCCAGCATAACCTCCCAAGTTGACACTGCGACCATCCTACTTTGCGTTTCCACTGTATTTTCCCTGTGTAGATCTCTGTTTAGAGGAGGGAGGGAGGGGCTGCGCTCTTATCACACACTCACAGCTGAGCAGAGGCTGTTTTTTTTCCCCCACCTGGTTTCTGAATCTTGGTTTACTTTTGGGTACCAGTAACCACATAGAAATCTGCTGTTTTTTGTCACCTGAGGTTATTTTATTTTTTATAGAAGTTAGTGAGGTCCACACAATTGTTTTTAGCTCCTGATAAATAAAATCATAGAACTGAGGGAGGGTGTACTTTCTTTGTGTATATGTTTTCCTTTTTCATGGCATTCTTGAAAATCTGAATTTGAAGTCAAACCTTTTATTGTCATTGCATTTGAAAAACACAACAAAACAGCAAAAAGAACACCTCTCAGCCCTACATGCATGCTGTCGTGGCTAGAATGTGAACTAAATTAATTCAGACAAATCATCCCAATTTAAATAATCATTTAATATTACAATTATTCTGAACAGAGTAGTAGTTAAATGAGTAATCTGGTAGTTAGGGAACAGAATCACTCCTCCTGAAATGGAATGGATACAGTATTAAATAAGAAAATTGTCACACAGTCAGTCAGTCTTGGTCAGGGGTCCAGTCAGTCAGAGTCCCTTACCCAGGCCTGGGTCTCAAAGAGCAGCACCCTTCACTGTCACGGTAGCCTTCTTCTTCTTCTCCCCCTGAACCCACAGCTATCCTAGCCTTTATCTTCTTGCAGTCACACAGCCTTCTATGGCCTGAGCCAGAGACACAGTCTCATGCCAGCTCCACACCCCTTCTTCCGAGCACTGTCTAAGATGTCCAGTACATGAACTTCTAGGTCGCATTCACCTAGCGCACATTTCCTTTTTCTAAACATGAACAGAGCACACAAACCGTTCACATAAGGCTGAAGCTATGTCCATTCCCCATTTAAGGAGGAAGTCGCTCTGGATGTTTACCCATAAATTAAACAAGGGGGACACAACCCAAGATATTCTTGCTTGAGCAAAAGAGAAACAGATCAAGCTTATATAAACACTTAGCTCACCCTTACATAACTATTACAAATAATATCTATATATGAACTACATACTATTCTATTACATATTACCTCTGGACTGGTACCCTTGTTTGTTTTTAAACACTACAATGCAAAATATGTCCCTCCCTGTTGTTTGTGCCTATGTGCTAAATAATAGTTCAGAGTATGTGGCCTTCTTGGAGATCCTGGGTGGGGTCCTTGAAGGGGCACCACCTGGGGATTCCATAGTTCTTGTGGGGGACTTCAATATTCATGTGCACAGTGATGGAAAAACCTGGAGTGGGGTGTTTTGGAGGAATGGCCTGCCTGATCTGAACCTGAATGGTATTTTGTTATTGGAATTCTGCACTTGTTGTGGCCATAACAAACACCATGTTTGAGCATAACATTGTTCATAAGTCTACTTGGTACCAGAACACCTCAGCTCTTAGATTGATGATTGACTTTGTTGTCATATTATCGGATCTAAGGCAGTATGTTTTGGACACTTGGATAAAGAGAGGAACAGAGCTGTCAATTGATCACCACCAGGTGGTGAGTTGAATCTGATGGTGGGGAAAGCTGCTGGCCAGACTGGGCAAACCCAAACGTGTAGTGAGGGGGCACTGGGTATGCCTGGCTGAAGCCCCTATCAAGAGGCCTTTAACGCACACCTCTGGAAGAATTTCTCTCATGTCCTGGGGGAGGCTGGGGACATGGTATCCAAATGGGCCACGTTCAAATCCTCCATTGTTAAAGCAACTATTCTGAGTTGTGGCCAGAAGGTTCTTGGTGCCTGTCACGGTGGCAACCTGAGAACCCACTGGTGGACACCAGTGGTGAAGGATGATCTTAGGCTGAAGAAAGAAGCTTACAGGGCTTGGTTGGCTCAGGGGTCTCCTGAAGCAGCTGATGGTACTGACAGGTCAAAAGGGCTGCAGCTCCAATGGTCGAGGATGCAAAAGCTCTGGTGTGGAAGGAGTCCACTGAGGCTATGGAGAAGGACTTTCAGTTGGCTTCAAATAAGTTTTTGGAAACTGTTAGATGACTCAAAAGGGGAAAGCTGGGTTTGGCCCAGGCTGTGTTTGGTAGGGGAGGAGAACTGCTGACTTGAACTGGGGATATTATTGGGCAGTGGAAAGAACCCATCTAATATGCCCTCCAAGGGGGGAGAAGAAGTAAGACTCAGGAAAAACCTCACCCCTATTCCTGGCAGAGGTCACTGAAGTAGCCAAAAAGCTCCTCGGTGGCAAGGCACCTGGAGTGGATGAGATTCTCCATGAGATGCTGAAAGCTCTGGACATAGTTGGGCTGCCTTGGTTGACATGCCCCTTCAGTGGCACATGGAGGATGGGGACAGTGCTTGTGCACTGGCAGACTAGGGTAGTGGTTCCCATTTTCCAAAAAGGGGGGCCAGAGAGTGTGCTCCAGTTATTGGGGTATCACACTACTCAGGCTCCCTGGGAAAGCCTATGCCAGGGTGTTGGAAAGGAGACTCCAACCGACTGTCAAACCATGGATTCAGGAGGAGCAATGCAGATTCCATTCAGGGCGTGAAATGCTGGATGAGCTCTCTCTTTTTGCCAGGTTACAGGAAGGATTCTGGGAGTTTGCCCACCCAGTCTACATGTGTTTTGTGGAATAAGAGAAGAACTACCACCCAGGTCCCCCATGGGATTTCGTGAGGGGTACTTTGGGTGTACAGGGCACTGGGGCCATTGGTATAAGCCATCCGGTCCTTGTGGGAGTTGTGTCCATATACCTGGCAAGACGTCAAACATGTTCCCTGTTGGTGTTGGCCTTCGTCAGGGTTGTCCCTTGTCACCTATTTGTACTTTTCTTGGACAGGATCTCATGGCACAGCCGGGGGGG